TTTTATATTCTCACCTATATTCTGGAGACGTAAGATAACAAAACATCCCTATTCTCCTCCCTTTCCTTCCACTCAACATTAAGAGAGAAGAGAAGCCTAATCATGAAAGAATGTAGGATGAGAAAAAAGCATTTTGCAAAAGATATCTTAGAATTTCATTCAATTGTCAAACTTTGCTCTAAAGCCTACGATATGAGTTGCTGTACTAGGTTCCGAGGATACAGAAGCAACAGACACAATCTCCCCTCCCCTTACCCTTTTGAGAACCTCACAGTCTGTTGAGGAAACCAACAAGAAAATAGGACAATTCCCATACCTCTTGATAAATGCTATTATTGAAGTTAGAACTTATTTATTTAAGAAATATTTCTAAGCATCCACTATGTGCTAAACATGTGAGGTATAAACTGCAGAGTCCAAAGGCTGGAGAAGACGTGAAAAGTTTTACTTTGGAAATGATACTGGAGGAAGTTCTAGTAGAGCAGGACGAGTTTCTCAGGTGAAGAATGTTGGACAACGTGTTCAGATTGAAGGACAATTGTTTTGAAAGGTATAGTGTTTGGGGGGAACTGGAACTGAGGAGGGGTTTATCACTGTAGGAGAAGACAGGAAGGCAGGGATGGATGTGAAGAGCTTTCTCTGCCAGGCTAGAAGCTTGAGGTTTCATTCTGTAGATAATTTGGAGCCAAGATAGCCTTATGAAACTTGAAATGTGGTCAAGACCATTTCAGTAGGATCATGACTGTCATCCACAGGACGAATTGGGAAGGAAGCAGGGTGGGTGCCCATAGTCCCATCGGTGCACAGCTTGACAAGCAGATGCCTATATCAGGCCTTTGTGTGCAGTGCACAAACCATGCAACAGTATGGACAGCACTAATGTCCTGTGGCATCATGGCTTACTTATGGCATTTGTGTTTCTTCCATTAGGAAAATGAAGAATTCCTTAAGTTCTCACTTGCAAATTTGATTTGTAAGGGAACTGGAAGTTTACCTGCTGAGTGCTCTACATGTCAGAGGTGAGTAGCTACCCATCTATGCCTTATTATATCAAGAAACAACCCAGGGAATCTCTGCCCCAGACCCCATATGCTATCACCGTTGCCTGAGAGGCCACCAAGGCAGTCCCGTTTCCTCTGACTCACCAGGCTCTCATCCAGCCTGGGAGATGAGATTTTAAATTTGGGTGAAAGGGTAGGAAGGGAGTGGGGTGACGGGGCTGGGAAGAGACAATATGAGGTCGCTGTGGCACCATGGGGAAATGGAAGTAGTGGGAATGGGGAAGAGTGTGGAAAGAAAGGAAAGAGGCAAGAAATCAGAACTGGAGAGGGGTCATTAATATACATGTTCTTTCCTTCACAATATTGCAGCGGGAAGGCTCTTTCTGCTCAAATTCTGTGTTATGTACCATGCAACAGTTTTAAGAGCCCTAATGACCTGTGGCGTCATGACTTATGGAATCTCATCTAGCCCGGGAGATGGGATTTTTAAATAACAATACTAAGTATTTTGATTATTTTATTATTGTAGGGAAAATATATTTTCTCATGCACAGACTAATTCCTGCCTTTGTTCATGTTTTCCCTAATAATAATATAAACAACAACAATAATCAACATTGTTTGAACAGTTACCCCACGCTTGGCACTGTGCTAAGAGCTTTGCTTCTATTTATCTCACTCGGTTCTCCCCTGAGCCCATGATGGAGGTATCATTGTTAGTTATTTATTACGGAAGAAGAAAGTGAAGGCTGGAGAGGTGACACAGATGGCTCAGAATCACACAGTTGGTGAGCGGCACACTCAGGCCTATCTGCCTTGTTTCACAATCAACACTTAAACTACCGTGCTCCATGGCTTTTGCAGCTGTTGGCTCCTTCCTCCACCATTTCAAATGCTTTTCACCCACTTCACGTTTCCTTCATTGACGTAACTAATGTTACTGAGCACCTTCTACATGTATTGGTGCTCTTGTATGGAACTTTCCTACACGGATTTCTACTTTCTTTAAAGACTTTCAAGCCTTCAAGGTAGACAGTAAATTTTATTTCAGGTTTGTATAGTTCTGTAAATGTTTTCAGTGACTTTGTTTCCCCCCCCAGCAAAAGATTTTTCAGTCATTGCCGGGTCAGGATCAAGTCTTCAAAGCTCTGATCTTCTCACCAGCACCCAACGCAGTGTTGGACTGAAGGCAGGAAGCCCCTGGCTCTTAGCCCCTGACATCAGTGAGGTGAGCCCCCATCCAGTGGCTGCATTTTAAGGAAAAAGAAATGCATGTGTAGATCTGATAAGGTCTGGGTGATATCTGGAGAAGAAGATGCCCTATTAGTGAGGATCAGCTATGTTTACCTTTTAAATCCACAGAAGTACGCGGAGATAACAGCCAGAGTCCGTGGACAGAAGTTCATGAGGATCATTGCTCGATAGGTCAGGGTAAAGGTCTCCTTCTTTCAAAATAAGTGAACGGGCAGGAAACGTGTGCACCAGGTGTTTCGTCATCATGGCTGCCTGGGAAAGATAATTCTGTCTACTGGAAAAGAACATCGTGCTCCACGCATCATGTTGTTTTCCAACAGCTATTTTCTGCCTTTGAAAATGAGCATCGCTGGCTCCCCACTTCTTTTTGGAAATCCCTTGGGCCACACACAATAGCAAAAGGTGTCTTATATTTATACAAAGCTGTCCTCACAAAAGCTCAAGGACCTGAACAAAGCTTGTTTTCATGTATAAGGATTCTTATATAATCCCTGAGGGGAAAGGAGCGGAGGGTGACAATTGAGTTAGGAATGTTGTCATTCCCAGCTAACAAAACGGAAAAGTGAGGCCCCAGGGCTCGACACACTGATGGTCACGACCTGGACAGGAAGTCCATCTTCCCTACTTCCTGTCCAGGGGGCTGCCTCCTGGGCAACACTACCTTGTCAGAAATCCTAGAGGATTTGAAAGCCTAGAGGAGAGGACTGGAGGGGAGAGACTGGGAGAGAAAGCCCAGCCACGTGGGACGGGACACAGCAGTCTCACTACCTTCAGTGACTGGTCCTCACTGGTTAAGATTTTGCAATTGTGAAGTGAGAGTTCCTTTTGTCCTCTGTGGAACTGATCCTGGGGGGAATTTAAAAAAAAAATCTACCCGAGATAGTACTTCAACAGAAAGAATTTAATCACCCTCTTTAGGAGTTACAGCTAAATCACAGGAGAGTTGAAAAGCCTGGATGGCTTAGAGAAGAGCCATCTGAACAAAGGGCATACTGTAAATATTCATTCTGCACTTGGATATAACAGTAAGGCATAAGCCCCCATCATGCAGTAGGGCAGACCAGCACCAGATAAAGGGATCTATGAATGCTAGAGGGATCCAAGGGAAGGGCAGTTACTTCTGACTGTGGCTTTGAGTCAGGACTCCCTGGGGTCCAGAGGGCAGCCCTGCAACTGAGGCTGGAAGGATTGGTGAGGACAGTGTTAGGAGGTGTCTTCTACACTACATGGAGGTGTAGCTCTGCTTTAAAATCAGCTGGGGATCCTTAGAAAACACTCCACCTCTAAATAATCCAATTAAATTGATGATCGTAGCCCAGGCATTGGTGTTGCTGACAAGTTCCTAGGTGGTTCTATGGAGCAAACAGGGTAGACAACCACAAAAAGAGTGTGGACTTTAGAATTAGACAGTCCTGTTGCAGCATGCTGTGTCCTCGGGCAAGGCCCATGGTGGGCAGTGTTCCACAAATTCACTGTTTCTTTCCACTTCTGCCCACCCCTGTGAAGATGCTCTTCCATGAGAGAATCCTTCCTCGTTGACAAACTTTTCTTGACTGAGAAACCCGAAACTGGAAATTGGGAAACCTGGATACCAATCCTAGCTCTGCCAGTGAGGCACTACATAGGCTTGCTGCGGCGCATAGGGAGATGAAGCAAAGACACTCAGAATTGCTTTTTTGCCAGGCACTGTGCCAGGTATCCAACACATCCTGGAGCCTCCATTTTCCCATCTGTTGATGTTCAGAGATCAGTACTTGCAGGTTGTAAGGTCTACTTAATATGTGATGACCAGAATTCTTTTTAATAGAAATGTAACAGAAAAATGTAGTGTACTGCATGGAAGAAGTGCAAGGATTATGATGTAAAATTTCGTTTCAGTTACAGATGGATGTGTGTATGGAATCATGATGTAAAATGTGTTTCATATTGTGAGTTGCAAGTTAAAACGTTTGGGAGAGCTCATTTTGATAGGATATATCCTAAAACCGCAACAATACAGAGAAGATACCATGGTTTCTGTGCAAAGAATCATAGCTATCCTGCTGTATCTTCACAAACTTGTGAAGCATCCCATCTTTTGTTTTATGTTATGTATTTTTTTAACCACAATAAGAAAAAAAATTTGAGAAACATGGAATTATATGCTTTCTAGAACCCCCTTCCTTCTACTCTATAGCCTAGGGCTATCCAGCCTACATGAACTTTGCTTTCTGTGACCTCCTTTTTCTTAATACTGTGTAATTCTGACCAATCATTTATGTTTTCAAGAGGGAGGCAGGACACTGCATCCTTTTGAGTTAGCTAAGTCAATGCTTGATTGAATTTCTTCACTTATTAATTAATGACCCAGAAAATGTATATAACCTCCTTCAGCCTTAGGTTTCTTGCATGAGATGAAAACACCCAGGACACGTGATGGCTATAAGATTAAATAAAATGCTGTAGGAAAAACTCTTAGCACAAATCACCTTGCTTATAGAAGTGCTCGGTGTGTGGTAGCAATTATTACCTGACTTCCCACCCCATCCAGATTTTAAGGTACAGTCTGTAATTTAGTATCTGGCATATATGAAGTCCTAAAGTACAAAAGGATTCCAGCCTGAAGCAGACCCTAATGTTGAAGAACAGCTCTTCTCTTTTGGCAGGCTCTGTCGACATACAGGTCTTGGAAGGAGAGTCAGGTCCTCTACCTGCACATCCCCTCCAGGCTTTTCCTCTAGCATGGCCAGTGAGACCTGGGAAGGCAAAGGCAGGAGGTGGATCCTGGCTACAGTTTGCTCCAAGGATCAAAACGACCCTATTTCAGTGATATCAAATTCAACAGACAGATGGATACTGGGGATTAGCTGTGTCACAAACTGGGCATCTGCCTGAAAAGGTTTCAGAAAGAAGCACAAACAAAGAAATGAGAAAGAGCTGGTGGCCAGAACATTGAGAAACCGAGTGTGAGATTCAGACATTAGACCAGAAATAAATGGTTGTCATCAAACTGTAAACAAATAAGCAACTCAGTAGGTCCTAATTGCCTCAGAAATAGGCTGGGAACCAAGGCATCACCTTATAAATGATTCATTTCAGGAAATACCCACTAATCAATTACTAGGGCTTCTGTGTAATAGTTTCTCCAGATTTATAGGTGGTGAACATGTGAATTGGATCATTGATTCTAGAATGAGATAAGCAGCAATACTGGTAACCTAATCTACTTAATCCAACTAGCTACAGAGACATTAGCTGCCCTTAGTGGAAGCCAGCCAATTACTGGAGAGTGGAAAGAAACCCATTCATCACGGCAGAGCCTCACCAGCCCAGTCTCCCAAGGGCATTCAGTTATTGCTGAGAAGATGTTGATGGAGAAGAGGATAATGACCCATAAATAGATATATGGGAAAGGGAGGAGGGGTGATGGGGAAGGGAGAGGAAGCCTCATAAAGTTGCACAGGAAAAAAATGGGCCTTAAAAATGATAAAAATGACTTAAAAACAATTAAAAGAAACATGCAAATAGTATTACAAAGAGGATTGTTGAAAATAGCATTAGCTGCAGGTCTACATGTGTATTTCTAAAAGAAAACTTGATTTGAAATTATACAGTAAAAAACAAAATGTATGTGAATAGTGTTGCCCCACCTAGAACTACGTTGCTAACACAATGGTTTTTCAGGAAAGAAAAGGCAAGGATGCCTGGAAATAGCTGCATCTACTCAGCCCCCATCCCAAGCAATCAAATGAAGTCCAGGAAATTCCATATATAACTAGAAGAATAGACATCCTGGAGCATTTTCGCCACAGTTAGGATTAGCGGAAACAGACCCCCATCAAAGCTTAACAAAGAAGAAATAAAGGTGAACTAACTGCGGTGGGTCCCTCTGCCTCCCTCCTGAAAACGTAGTCGCCACACAGGCGGGATGGACGGATGCGACTAGGGCATTGGCAGTTGCCTTGGCTGATCTGACAGTCTTTTGTTGTGAGCCCACCCCCACTCAACAGCATCACAGGGGAACCTACTTCTTCAAGGAAATAATGAAAACAAAACTATCCTCCTGATTCATCCTCACAATCCTTAAAAGTGGTTGTTAAATAGCAACGGCTTATGATTAGCCCTTTTGGGATCTTGTTTGAGAAATCCTTGCCTCTCCAGAGGTCATGAAGATATTCTCCTATTTTTTTTTTTCTGAAAGATTTCAAGTTATCCCTTTAATAATAAATTCTTCCTTCTCTATGGAATTAAAAGACACAAAAAGCACAAACCAAAAGGAAGAGATTAATAAATTTCACATCATTAAAGAACTTCTGTTTGCCAAAAATATCACAAGGAGTGTAAAATGGTCAGCCACAAAGTGGAAGAAAAACCTTTACAGAACGTCTAACTGACAAAGAAGGGACTAGCACTTGGAATATATAAAGAATGCCGGCCGGGCGCGGTGGCTCACGCCTGTAATCCCAGCACTTTGGGAGGCCGAGGCGGGTGGATGACAAGGTCAAGAGATCAAGACCATCCTGGTCAACATGGTGAAACCCCGTCTCTACTAAAAATACAAAAAATTAGCTGGGCATGGTGGCGCGTGCCTGTAATCCCAGCTACTCAGGAGGCTGAGGCAGGAGAATTGCCTGAACCCAGGAGGCGGAGGTTGCAGTGAGCCGAGATCACACCATTGCACTCCAGCCTGGGTAACAAGAACGAAACTCCGCCCCCAAAAAAAAAAAAAAAAAAAAAAAAGAATGCCTATAACCTATTGAAAGCTGCTCCCAAAACATGATTATGTAATCCACGAAAGAAATATAAATGACTATTCAGCATATTTAAAGTCCCTCGACTTCACTAGTAATCAGAGAAATGCAAATTTGTAAATTAGAATTATAATGAGATTTCATTTTATACCCACTAGATGTACAAAAAAACTATGAAGTCTGACAATACTAAGTATTAATGAGAATGTGGAAAACCAGAATCTTATATACTGCTGTTGGGACTGTAAATTAGTACATTTTCTTTGGAAAACAACTTGGCATTATCAATCACAAGTAGAGATGACATTCCTATGACCCAGAAATTCCACTCCTAGATATGTACCCTAGAGAAACTCTCGCCCACGTGCATCAGGAGATATGTCTACAACTGTTATAGAAGTGTATTAGCTACAAAAATTAGCTGGGCGTCATGGTCACAGTGTGTGCCTGTACTCTCAGCCGCTTGGGAGGCTGAGGCAGGAGAACTGCTTGAACCTCAGAGGTTGCAGTGAGCCAAGATTGCGCCACTGCGCTCCAGGCTGGGCAACAGAGTAAAAAACCCCAACAAAAAAAAAAAAAAAAAAAAAAAAAGAAGTGTATTGACAAACACACAAGCAAAGCTAAACAAATACTGTCAAGGAATACTTACATTGCAGTCAACTGTTTTAAAAAGCAAGGATATAATATACACAAAATTCCGGATGGAAGTTGTGTCTGAGGGGAGGAGGATGGGAGTTGGGTTAGCTTCAGTCGTAGGAACAGACTGTTTCATAATAAATTATTCTTGAACTTCTGGCCTCAAGCAATCCTCCTGCCTCATCCTTTCAAAGGACTGGAAGTATAGGCGTGAGCCACTGAGCCCAGCAAACACTCTGAATTTTAAATTTTTAGTAAAAGACCCAGTGCTTGGAGTCTTGGCATCTTTAGACTGTATAATGCTAGCACCACTCATATAGCTACGAACCCCTTTTAAGATGGCTATTTTTGCATCTTTGGGTTTTACCCACCCTCCCAAAAGGATTATATAGTTTATCAGATGGCAGGACTTTGAAGGCAGGAACTCTGTTTTATTCATCTCTGTATGCCTAAGACTCGGGAAAAGATATGCTTTACAGGTTTTAAAAAATCTTTTAATTTTGAAATAATTTTAAATTCACAGAAAGGTGTAAAAATAATACAGAGTTTCCATTTACATTTCACTCAGTTTCTCTCAAAGATGATAGCTTATATAACTATAAAGCAATATTAAAACCAGGAATCTGGCATGGGTAGAATACCTGTGCATAGTTTGCACTGTTTTATCATGTATGTAGATTCATGTAATCATCACTGAAGTCAAGACACAGAACTGTTCCATCACCACAAATATCTCCCTTAGGCTACCCCTTTGTAATCATGCCCAGCCCCCCTCCCACATCATCCCTAGCCCCTTGCAGCCACTACTCTGCTTTATACTTTCATAATTTTGTCATTTTGACAATGTTATGCAAATGGAATCATATGGTAGATGACTTTTTAATTTTTTTGATACAGGGTTTCATTCTGTCACCCAGGCTGGAGTGCATAATCATGGTTCACTGCAGCCTTGACCTCCTGGGCTCAAGTGATCCTGCCACTTCAGCCTCTAGCTGGGACTATGCATGCACATGCCACCACACCCAGCTATTTAATTTTTTTTTTTTTTTTTTTTTTTTTGATTTGTACAGATGCGATCTTACTATGTTGCTCAGGCTATTCCTGAACTCCTGGCCTGAAGTGATCCTCCCATCTCAGCCTCCCAAAGCACTGAGATTACAGGTGTGAGCCACTGTGCCTGGTAGGTATATAACTTTTTGAGGTTGGCTTTTTTCACTGACAGAAATGTCCTTAAGCATTGAGTTGGGTCATTTTTTTTAAAACCATTCTACCAACCTCTGCCTTTTCATTGATGTATTCAGATCATTTACAATAATGTAATTGATATGTTAGGGCTTAAGTATGATATTTTCTGTTTTCAGTTTATTTTCTCTTTGTTCTTCAGATTGGGTAATTCCTTTAGTAGAGACGGGGTTTTGCCATGTTGGCCAGGCAGCTCTTGAATTTCTGACTTCAGGTGATCCGACTGCCGCCTCCCAAAGTGCTGTGATTACAAGTGTGAGCCACTTTGACCAGCCAGCAAACATTTTAAATAATGGATACTCAGCCTGTGTCTGTTCTCTGAGTGTTTGATAAAACTCAGCGGTAAAATGTTCAAGGATTAGTTTCACCTTGCAAAAATATTTTAAACTATTGATTTTATTTATTTAATAAATGTAGGATTATTCAGATTTTCTGTCTTCCTGAATTAGTTTCCTTATTTTTTTCCCTGAAATGTATTTATATATCTTAGTTTTCAAATTTACTTGTTATTAAAATTCACTTGTTATCCTGTTACTCTTCCGCATAGGTAATTACGTTTGATTAATTATTTCAAATATTGTTTATTCCTTTTCATCATAATATCTTCACAGATTTGTTAATTTATTAGTTTTTTCAAAGAACCTACATTAGCTTTGATGATATTCTCCAGTTAATCTGTTTATCATTTCATTAGCTTTAGCTTTTATATTTACTACCTTTTCTACATCAGCTTTTATATTTATTATTTTTGTACTTTATGTATATTCTGCTACTAACTTCTTAAGTTATATTTTTGGCTTGCCAACTTGTTAGTCTTTCTTTTTTAGAAAAGCATTTTCCCCTAAGTATTGCTTTTGCTGTATCACATATGTTTTTATTCTCTTTTCATGTTAAAATTTAAAAAATTGTTAAATGATTTATTCTTTGACTGGAGTTATTCAGAAGCATGTCCTTAAATTTTTTTTAAAAAAGAGTTTGGTTGTTTCATTATTGGTTTCTGGTATAATTGCATTTTAGTCAGATAACTTTTGTATAAATTCTGATTTCTTGAAATTCTTTGAGATTTATTTAATGGCCTTACACATATTCAGTTTTCATATGTGTTCTGTGTAAGTTTGAAAAAAATGCCAATTTACTAAATTTTATGT